TTAATGCCTAAATTCCAATGATTCTTAACCCTTCCTGCCAGACTATAGGACTTTGGCCCCTTTCTAAGTTTTCAGCCCCGCCTGGGTAATGCCTCTTTGATGTTCAATGCTGTTTGTCAATGACATCTTCAACTTGAAGGCCTGTGCACTGCCTCTGTAGCTAAGTCCCAGTCATCACCATGTACCCTCAGAGTGCCATTTGGCAGTGTGTATGCACATGTGTGTGGGGGGCATGGGGTGGTGGCACAGAATTAACCTGTCCCAGTTCTCTGTAGCATACTGTCACCTGGGCGCTGATGTAACATTATTATTATTGCTATTTTTTACTAGAATTATCTCCCATATAAATAACTCCTTTGGCTTTTGGTCCTAAGCCTTTTCTCTAATGTGACTCAAAAATCCATCCTCTCAAGATAAAATATTTGCAAACTATGCGTCCAACAAGGAACTAATATCCAGAATTTACATGGAACTCAACAACAACAACAAGAAGAAACAAATAACCCTATTCAAAAGCAGGCAAGGGACATGAATAAACATTTTTCAAAGAAGACATCCAAATGCACAACAGGCATATGAAATAATGCTCAACATAACTAATGATCAAAGAAATGCAAATTGAAGCCACAATGAGATATCATCTTACACTAGTCAGAATGGCTATTATTAAAAAGTCAAAAAATAACAGATGTTGGTGAGGATATAAAGAAAAGAGAACTCATATGCTGTTGGTGGGAATGTAAGTTAGTACAACTATGGAAAACTCTATGGAGGTTGCGCAAAGAACTAAAAAGTAACGACCATTTGATCCAGCAATCCCACTATTAGGTATATATTCAGGAAAAGAAATCATTATATCAAAAGGATACCTGCACACATATATTTATCACAGCACTATTTACAATAGCAAAAATATGGAATCAACCTAAGTGTCCATCAATGGATGATTGAATTAAAAAATGTGGTATATATACACAGTGAAATACTATTCATCCATAAAAAATGAAATCATGTCTTTTGCAGCAATAAGGATGGAACTGGAGGCCATTCTCTTTAAGTGAAACAACTCAGAAACAGAAAGTCAGATGCTTGTTCTCACTTATAAATGGGAGCTAAATAATGTGTACACATGGACAAAGGGTGTGGAATGATAGACATAGGAGGCTCAGAAGAGTAGGGGAACGGAAGGGGGATAGGTGATGAGAAACTACTTACTGGGTACAATGTACATTACTTGAGTGATGGATACACTAAAAGTCAAGACTTCACCACCACACAATATAGCCATGGAACAGAATTGCAGTTGTACCCCTTAAATTTACACACTTTAAAGAAAAGGGAAAAAAATCTGTTCCCTCAATTCTTTTCTCCCTCCTTTCTGCCCTGTGCTCCTGAATCAAAAGGTAAAAATATTAACAACAACAACAACAACAAAACCTTTTCAACTTAAAACCAAAGCTCCAGTGTGTATCAGTTCAGGCAAACAGATCACTTAGTGGATTAACAGCCCTCTAGTTTCAAAGACGTAGGTTCTGTGAATTCCAGTTTGGGGCTCACATGGAACTTCCTGCTATACTTTGAAGTTTTTTTTTTTTTTTTTCCTAGTGGTGCCAAAGGCATATACTTTAAACTTTAATAATTTAAAATCTTTTTGGACTTATTTATAATAAATATCTAAGAACATAAAAAGTAGTAAATTATGAAATACTTGAAAACCAAATCCAAAGAAGTCGTATACCCCAACTGTTGCAGTATTATCTCAGCATCCAGACTACCTAGGAAATAAGCCTTTACTTCCACTAAATGCAACTTGGTACAAGGTCCAGAGAGTGATATTCCCCAGCTTGCTTTTGTGACACCGTAAGATTTATCTCATGTATATCTAGGGCTGTCTTGGACGTGTAAAAATAAAAACTAGTTAAATTATTTAAAGTATGAAAATATTCTGCAAATTACTATTTTAATTAGTTTAATTGAGAAAAGTATGCTGTATGTTAATGTTTGTATCATTTTAACTGAGAAAAGAATACACTATAAATTATTCTTTGAGGAAAAGAGGGTGTCATGGAATCAAACCAACGGCAGAGATTCAGATACAACTTTGGGCAAATCTCTTACTTCCTTTTGCATAGGTTTCCTTTTCTAAAACTGGAGAAAATAATACCTCCCTTTTCCTGGGTTGCTGTGAGAATTCAATCAGTTATATGTAAAGTTCTTAAAACCGTTTCTGGTATATGGTGCCATGAAGTGCTATGAAGGTGTTTGTTATTACAAGTATTTAAAAGGTATTACAAATTACTTTTAAGTAATTGGTCTCTGATTAATCAGCAAAGAACTTTCAGAAATAGAAAGTCAGATGCTTGCTCTCACTTATAAGTGGGAGCTAAATAATGTGCACACATGGACACAGAGTGTGGAATGATAGACATAGGAGACTCAGAAGGGTTAGGGGATGGGAGGGGAATAGGTGATGAGAAATTACTCAGCAAAAGTTATATTTCAGCACTTGACTTAGTAATAATTTGTATTAAGTTGGTTTTCACTTGTGATTAAATGTTTGTGGGTCAGTCGTCTTTAACCAAAAGCAAAATGCATCCACCCTTATACTATGACAACTTCCCAAAGTGTGTTCCTTGATATGCCATTTCAATGGAATGTTAGCACATTATATGAAAAAAAAAAAAAAGATGCTGTAAGTGGCGAGTTTGGGAAGTGCTGGGTTAGACAAATGTAAATAAGGCTTCTTTACTAAGAATGTCTCTGAGCTTTTCATGCTGTAATGTGCACTGAGATCTTACAGGTAGTTTTCCAGATGTATTTGGAAACAGATTCTTTTATTTACAAAGCATCTTGAGAAATTAATGTTCTGTGAAATGTATGTTGGTATTTTAAATATATATATATATATATATTTTTTTTTTTTTTAAAAGATGGAGTTGCTCATTGTGAAGGAATTCACTGGTGGGCACAAGAGGCTCAGGAAGGCTCAGGGGAGAAGGCCAGGAGTTCCAAGCTTGATGGTCCAGCAAGGCTCAGGAAGAAGCATCCCGTATTCTTATCATCATCATCATCGCCATAACTTAAAAGCATAAGGCATAACATTTGTTTGGCACTTGAAAAAAATGCTTTGTCTCATTTTGTCTTTTGAAAAACAAAATGAACGCTGAGCTATTATTTTATAGATGAGGAAACTGAGGTTCAGAGGGTAAAGGTGTGGTGACAAGCTCAAGGTCACACAGCTAATGAAGAGTGACTTGAACCCAGGCAGGTGACTTGAAACCCCTTTTTCCACTGTACCATACCACTGCCTGTTAGGGTTCCAATTAAACAATTCCTTCAAGGCAAACACCAAGGCACCTCACATCTGACCTCAATTAGAAAAGCTAATAGTGGAAGTGCAGTTTTGCATAGCATGACATGCCACAAAGCAATCTGGTATTTGAGATGCTGCATCTAGAGAAAGCAGCAAGCATCAGGAACAAAGGAAAACTGGCACTTAGTCAAAATTCCTTGTGTTCTCATGAAGGAGCCACCTCTAAACACCATGAGTACACTCCTCACTTATACATGTATTTATAGCACTACATGCTCAGGAGATGTTTCTTAGATTCAAAAAGCACAACTTTCACTAATAATGAATAGCAGATGCTTATATTATTCAAAATAATCTAGTGCTCTTAACAAGAAGCACTGTTTCCTTCTCCTGATGTTAAAAGGATATTACTTTCTAGAGACTCTTTTAATATATCCAATTGGTACATAATTATTTATACTGCCTTTCAACCTCATTAGATGTATAACAAAGAGTATCAGAAGAAAACATAGAAGTAACTTAGTGCTCAGAGTTTATATGCTCATGTGCAGAGCAGGTATATTAAAAGCCAATAATAACAGATGTTGTTTATTGGGTGCTAACTAGTGGCCAAGTATTGTTGTAAAGTGCTTCATATAATTGGTCATATTTAATTTGTGACACTGGAAAGTAACTATTATTGATATCACCAGTTTTTTTGTGTGTGTGAGATGGAGTCTCGCTCTGTTGCCCAGGCTGGAGTGCAGTGGTGTGATCTTGGCTCACTGCAACCTCCGCCTCCCAGGTTCAAGTAACTCCCCTACCTCAGCCTCCCGAGTAGCTGAGATTACAGGTGTGCGCCACCATGCCCGGCTAATTTTTGTATTTTTAGTAGATAAAAATATCTACTAAATTTCACCATATTGGTCAGGCTGGTCTTGAACTCCTGACCTCGTGATTCAACCACCTCGGCCTCCCAAAGTACTGGGATTACAGGCGTGAGCCACTGTGCCCAGCCAATATCACCATTTTACAGATCAGATTATTGAGGCTTAAATGTCATGTAGCTAAGAACTTGTGAGCAGCTTCATAGAGATTGTGGCTTTTCAGTCTATTGCTCTAGGCCTGGCTCAGTGCCCAGCACAGACTAGGGGCTTTATACAAGTTTGTCAAGCAAGTACATAAGCAAGCAAGCCCTAATGGTTTCAGCTAGCCACTGGCTGGCTTTACCTAAAGTTGTTTTGACAAAGACCTTTGCCTCAGAATGGATACAGCAATTAGACTAAGAGGTTAGAGAGAGAGGCAGCCCCTTCTTTCTCAGAGCTGCAAGTGTAGCCTTTGGTCCTCCTGAGCACCATGGCCCATACCTGTTCAACTGAGATCACCTGCACCCGCCAGCAAACTGACAGAGACAGGGCCTCACGAAGGGTATCCAAGTAGGGACCTCCACAGTGGCCAAAGCTCTCATGAATGAATAATTGACAATTTGGCGTTTCCTCCAGGGCAGTCTCACACACAGCTACTGCTTGCACCCCTTCCAACAAGCTGACCACCCTAAGCCTCGTTCACAGAGAAACGCTGCAGCTGGAGTTTGAGGATGAGCTGTTTCTTCCTGGAGGTTCTACCACTTTTCCTCTGGGGAGGCCTCCACCTGGGCCTGGCCTTGCGAGTGAATTCCTAAATCTGGAGTAGTGTCTCTCTCTTCCAGGACATCTGGAGTATCTCTTCGGCGAGGGAATGCAGATAAAAGCAGCCTGCTGAGTGGTAAGTTAAGTAACTGAACCCAGACTCTACAAACCAGGCAAGAAAATGGGCCTTTGAGTGAAATAAAAAAGGGTGATTCTTCAGGACAGATGAATTATAAAAGGCAACACTTGCCCACTTCCCCACCCTCAAATGGTAAAAAGGTCCTTTTCTTGAGGGGCCAGGCCTGGGCAGTCCCATGTAAGCTTCAGAATGGGTCAATTTGCAGGAGGCACCTTGCATTCAGGGTAGCAAAGACGTTAAAAGTCGTTCTTTGCTCAAAGCCTCCAGGGGTAAATCCCCTCTTCATAGCAGATGGGAGAAAATTGGGCCTGGTGCCCTCAGTGTAACTCTCTCCTCTGATCCTACCACTCATGGGAGGGGTCTCCACCCCTTCCTTCCTGGTTATTACTGAACCACCTAGTTCACCTCTTCTTGATCTTAAGTCCCTTCCAAACACAGAACAGGCCTTCCCAGACCTCATAAAGAATCCTCACCCCCTTGTTTTTCCTTACCAAGGAGTGCTTCCAAGCATTGGAGCATCCATAACTATTTTATTGTGTATTCTCTGTCTTCTCCCTAGGATGTGAGTTCTAGGAGTGCAGGCTGGGTCACCTTTGTATTTTCAGGCCCTAGCACAGCACATGGCACATAGAAGAATACGTATTTATTGGAAGCATTGAAAAATCAGAGTCAAAGTTAAGAAGCAGGACAACCTCATTTTTAATTTTTTTAGAGACAGAGTCTCCTTTTGTTACCCAGGCTGGAGTGCTGTGGCATGATCATAGCTCATTGTAGCTTCAACCTCCTGGGCTCAAGCCTCAGCCTCCAGAGTAACTAGGACACTGGCCACCACGCCCGGTTAATTTTTAAATTTTTTCTAGAGATGGGGATCTTGCCGTGTTGCCCAGTCTGGCCTGGCACTCCTGGCCTCACGCAAAACTCCCACCTCAGCTCCCTAAGAAGTTAGGACTATAGGTGCATGCCATGCCTGGGTAATTTTTAATTTTCTTTTTTAAGAAATAGGGGTCTTGCTATGTTGCCCAGGCTGATCTGGAGCTCCTGGACTCAAGCAATCCTCCTGCCTGGGCTCTCAAAGTGTTAGGATTACAGGTGTGAGCCACTGCGCCTGGCCATAGAGAACCTCCTTTTTGACAGAAAAGTAATCCTGAACGTGTGAGCAATATTTCATTTGGATGCCAATGTAGAGTTAAGCATCCCTAACCCCACCTGGTCTCATCTCACTCAACATCTGCAGCTTGTCTATGCCTCTCCACAGCAGCAGAAATGGGCCAAGGCAGGAAAGGCTGACTCACTGTAGGTGCCAGAGGCAGGGAAAATTTAGAGCCAGAGGGGAAGGAGACACACTGGTTCTGGGGAAGGGTGGCCTGTCCCTTTGGGGAAATAAATTGAAGGTCAGAGGGACTTCTGGAAGGCAGAGGAGAGCAGGTGGGGTGGTTTCCTATGCCTGAACCATCAGGTTCTGGGAGGGAAGAGGCAGGGAGCAGTGATGGATGCCCTGGACTGAAGACTGGGAGGGCCAGGAAGGAGCCTTAAAATTTGCACTTCCAGAGAGAAAGCCGGGTGGTGGGATTGACCTTGGACTGACAACTGACAGGCAGCATGTGGTGGAGTTTCAGGAAGCCAGAGGTCTGGGGTGCCAGCAACAACAAACCCAGGATGGCTGATGGAAGGGCCCAGCCTAGACAGGGAAGCAGAGGGGCTGCATGGAAGGGCTGAGGGCTGAAGGTGATGTGACGGGGTATAAGCTTCAGTGGGAGCCAGCAGGTTGTATTTCCAGTGTGTGTGGAGGGGTGGAGGGGTGGGGGTACCCAGAGAGGAACTATGGATTAGGCCCAGGCCGGCCATTCAGAGTGCTTGGCATCCAGGGTGTGTTAAGATGGCATTGAGGCTGGGTGCGGTGGCTCACGCCTGTAATCCCAGTACTTTGGGAGGCCAAGGCAGGCGGATCACCTGTGGTCAGGAGTTTGAGACCAGCCTGGCCAACATGGTGAAACCTCGTCTCTACTAAAATTACCAAAAACAATTAGCTGAGCATGGTGGCCCGCGTCTGTAATCCCAGCTTCTGGGGAGGCTGAGGCAGGAGAATCGCTTGAATCGCTTGCAGTGAGCCGAGATCGCAGCACTGCACTCCAGCCTGGGAGACAGAGCCAGACTCTATCTCAGAAAAAGGAACAGAGAAAGAGAGAAAGAGAGAGAAAGAAAAGAAAAGAAAAGAAAAGAAAAGAAAAGAAAAGAAAAGAAAAGAAAGAAGGATGGCATTGAGATCAATAAGGAAGTCTAGAAACCAGGAAGCATTTTGCAAAGAGAAAAGCCTTTTGTTATCCTCACCGGTAGGTACTAAGCTTTCCCTCACAGACAGGACTACAACCTCCAGAGTGAATCTGAGACGAATGCGAATTGCTCTGCACGTTTGTAAGGGACAGAAGACCGGATTTTCAAATTTAAAACAATCATTCTGTTTCTGGAATCAGAAGTCAGTTTCGAGATTTACAACTGTATTTAAAAAAAATCTGTCTTCTTGGTGGACTCGGGGGCGACTTCACGTAGCAGCTAGTACACGCCACGTCAAGCCACCGAAGCCAGAGGTGTGTGTCTGGGGCCAGAGACGTGCATTCCCTCAGCAAGGCCGGCCTCAGACGCAAACGCCAGCACCGCCACCCTGTCGCCCGCTGAGAGGATCTGGCCGCCAAAGCCGGAGGGGGGGTGGTGTGTGTGTGTGTGTGTGTGTGTGCAGAGACAACAAAAAACCCCAGCATAATGATTATCCCCAGGGACCGTTGGTTTTTTTTTCCCCCCCAAGTCAGCCGAGAAAACAAGTGCTCCACTTCCCCGGAAATGAGATGCATAGGGGTATTCATTCCATCCCGCGGCTGGGAAGCCCCTGCGGAAACGAGTCTGGCTGCATGTGCGGCCTCGGTCCCAGAAATCCAAAAAGAGCGTTCCCTGAGCCCACAGCTTGCTCCTCCATGTGACCGCCCCTGGACTGGTGGCCACTGTGGACGCGCCCGGCGCCCCCTCTCCCCGCGGGATCCGCGGAGCCGCAGGCGCGCGGCCTGGCCAGGTGCACCCGGCACAGCCCCGCCAACAGCGCGCGCCTCCAGCCGCCGGGAACTGGCGGCCACGCGGGCGAGATTTACGGTGGCGCTAGGCGGCGGCTTCCGAGGCCGGCCGGCGCCCAGGCTCCGATTACAGGTTCACACTGGGGGCCCGGCCCGCGGCCGCCCAGCCCCCGCCGGCGCGCCCTCGCGCGGCCCGGCTCCCCGCCTGCCCATTCTTCTCCATTCATGCGGACGCCCAGCGCCGCCGCCGCCAGCGCGGCCTGGCCGCCGTCGCCGTCGCCGGCCGCCCGGATTGGCTGGCGGCCGCGGCGCCGGCACTTTCCCACGGCCCGCGGCGCGTGCGGCTCACCGGAGGCGCTGCAGGCGCGGCCCTGGGCCGCGGGCCAGGCCAATCGGGGAGCGCGGGGCGCGCGGGGCGGGGAGGAGCCGCGGCCGCCGGCGGGCTTGTGTCCCGGCCCGGCCTCCCGCACCTCCTCCTTCCCCTGAGTGCAGGCCGGGCAGAGCCCCCGCGGAGCCGACGCACCGCCGCCGGGCAGGGGAGGGCGCGGAGGGCGGGGGCGCGGTCCGCTCGCGCCCTCGGCCTCGCTCCCGCCCCTCCCCGGAGCGGCTGCCAGTCAGCGGCGAAGAAACCGGATTGGCTGGGGGGCGGCTGTTGCCCTGGAGCTGCCGCCCCGCCTCTCCGCCCCCTCGCCCGCCTTCTCCGCTCCCCCGCCCTCCCCAGGGCCCTGGGAAGGGGCTCAGCGTGGGAAAGGATGGTTGAGTTTTAACCAGAGGCAAAGCGTGAGCGGGATCAGTGTGTGCTGAACGCGAGCAGCCGAGCGCGGAGACGTGCTGCTGTAGTTAACTCCTCCCTGCCTGCCGCGCCGACCCTCCCCTGGATCCTCCGGGCAGCCAGCATGAAGCGAGCTCACCCCGAGTACAGCTCCTCGGACAGCGAGCTGGACGAGACTATCGAGGTGGAGAAGGAGAGTGCGGACGAGAATGGGTGAGCTGGCGGCGGCGGAGCGGAGCCAGAGCGGGAGGCGAGTGCAGGCCCGCCGCGGTGACAGCGGGCAGGGACCCTTGGCGCGCCGGTGCTCTGCGCTGACCTCCGCGCGTCGCCGGCTGCCGGCAGCCCGCGGCCAGGGAACCCCTGGGCGCCTTCCAGCCCAAGTGGCAAAAAAGTCTGAGTGCGGGGAGGGTGTGGGGGGCGACCTCTCAGGTCACCTCTCCTCGTTTAACGGCGATTTCAGTTTTTGTTTGTGCTTTTTCTCTTTTCAGAAACTTGAGTTCAGCTCTAGGTTCCATGTCCCCAACTACGTCTTCCCAGATTTTGGCCAGAAAAAGACGGAGAGGAGTGAGTCTCTTTACAATCTCGTTTTATTTTTGTTATTAATTAACGGAAATAGCCACCTTTTTTTGTATTTGAAATTTACAGTCGTAATGGTAATACCTTTCTTTGTTTTGCTTGCCTTCTGCAGATAATTGAGAAGCGCCGACGAGACCGGATCAATAACAGTTTGTCTGAGCTGAGAAGGCTGGTACCCAGTGCTTTTGAGAAGCAGGTAATGGAGCAAGTAGGTAAAGCTCTCAGCGTCGCTGTCCGCACCTTCTGAATCTTCCCTCCATTAATCTCATCCGCCTTGGAAAATAGCTGTGTTGCTTGTGCCTAGATGAATTCGTACAGATGCCAGCGTATTTTGTGAAGACAACTGATTTTTCTTTAGTCCATACTTTACGCTTTACAAAGCATATATCTTTGTATGTATGTTTGCATATTTTAAGTTGTTTTCCAAAGGAACTTGTGCCAAATCAATCTTTTTGCCATTCTCATCTTTAGGGATCTGCTAAGCTAGAAAAAGCCGAGATCCTGCAGATGACCGTGGATCACCTGAAAATGCTGCATACGGCAGGAGGGAAAGGTACATCTCCTAGACCTAGTGGGGGCTCTGAGTGGTTGGCATAGAGTGAGCAGCGACTGAAGGCCAGGATTGGTGCAGTAGCTGCCTGATTTTTCTTTGGGGGTGGGGAGACAACAGTGTGTGGTGTGTGCAGTTCCCTGTCAGTACATTTTCAAATGCACATAGAATCTTCTCCAGTGAATTCACCACCCCAACTCTCTGCAGATTGAACTAGTGCATCTTTTGGAAAATACCTATTACTTGTGAGGTCTTCCGAAGTTGTGACAGCCCTGATTCAGATCAGGTAGCTCTCACATTTGTCCATTGCTATTTTGAGAAAAAGCATTTAAAAACAATATGTGGTCTTATTTTGGTATATGGGATTTTAAAAAAAAATGAGCTGCCACATGCCTCTTGAGGAAAGAAATGTATTGCGGTTAAGTAGAGGAAACCTAACAGGAGACCAAGGTCTGTGTGTCTGTCTCCAGCAGGAAAATGCTTTACTGAGGTCCAAGTGCCTAAAAGCTCCACGATGATAACTTACATCTGTGTGTCTAATGAATTTCACTGCTCTGTGGTTTCTCTGTCCTTGATGTATTTTTTGTTGTTGTTGAGGGAAAACATTAAAGGAATGAGCATAGTTTCATCTGCTGGTAGGGTATAATTCCAATTTCTGCTCTGCAGCTTCTAATTGGGCTTTGAACTTGCATTAGCAAACACATTCTGCTTATGTTGATTAATGCAAAGATTTTGGTCGACTCCAACATATTTAGACTTTCGGAAGAACCCTTGACTGTCGTGTTTTAAGGGATGCAGGTATCTGCCAGGAAGGGCTGTCTCTGGGACTGAAGAAATGCGGGAAACGGGCAAAGCCCTGAGATTTTTCTTTTGTTCTTTTCCTTAGGCTACTTTGATGCGCACGCCCTTGCTATGGACTATCGGAGTTTGGGATTTCGGGAATGCCTGGCAGAAGTTGCCCGTTATCTGAGCATCATTGAAGGACTAGATGCCTCTGACCCGCTTCGAGTTCGACTGGTCTCACATCTCAACAACTACGCCTCCCAGCGGGAAGCCGCGAGCGGCGCCCACGCGGGCCTCGGACACATTCCCTGGGGGACCGCCTTTGGACATCACCCGCACATCGCTCACCCGCTGTTACTGCCCCAGAACGGCCACGGCAACGCGGCCACCACGGCCTCACCCACGGAACCGCACCACCAGGGCAGGCTGGGCTCAGCACATCCGGAGGCGCCTGCTTTGCGAGCGCCCCCTAGCGGCAGCCTCGGACCGGTGCTCCCTGTGGTCACCTCGGCCTCCAAACTGTCGCCGCCTCTGCTCTCCTCAGTGGCCTCCCTGTCGGCCTTCCCCTTCTCTTTCGGCTCCTTCCACTTACTGTCTCCCAATGCATTGAGCCCTTCAGCACCCACGCAGGCTGCAAACCTTGGCAAGCCCTATAGACCTTGGGGGACGGAGATTGGAGCTTTTTAAAGAACTGATGTAGAATGAGGGAGGGGAAAGTTTAAAATCCCAGCTGGGCTGGACTGTTGCCAACATCACCTTAAAGTCGTCAGTAAAAGTAAAAAGGAAAAAGGTACACTTTCAGATAAAATTTTTTTAAAGACTAAAGGTTTGTTGGTTTACTTTTTTCTTTTTTAATTTTTTTTCATCATGTCATGTATTAGCAGTTTTTAAAAACTAGTTGTTAAATTTTGTTCAAGACATTAAATTGAAATAGTGAGTATAAGCCAACACTTTGTGATAGGTTTTTACTGTGCCTAATTTACTTTGTAAACCAGAATGATTCCGTTTTTGCCCCAAAATTTGGGGAATCTTAACATTTAGTATTTTTGGTCTGTTTTTCTCCTTGTATAGTTATGGTCTGTTTTTAGAATTAATTTTCCAAACCACTATGCTTAATGTTAACATGATTCTGTTTGTTAATATTTTGACAGATTAAGGTGTTGTATAAATAATATTCTTTTGGGGGGAGGGGAACTATATTGAATTTTATATTTCTGAACAAAGCGTTGACAAATCAGATGATCAGCTTTATCCAAGAAAGAAGACTAGTAAATTCTCTGCTTCCTATAGCAGAAAGGTGAATGTACAAACTATTCGTGGCCCTGAATCCATCTGACCAGCTGCTGATGTCTGCCAGGACTGGCAGTTCTGATTTAGTTAGGAGAGAGCCGCTGATAGGTTAGGTCTCATTTGGAGTGTTGG